TGAGATTCAATTTTAATGGCTTGAAGGCTTAAACTTAAATATGTTAATTTATTAATTTCTGATGTATTTCAAGTTAAGAAATAGGGCACACAAACTGTACTCTCTCTTAATTAGCATAATATTTTTCCGAGGGATTCGGATTTTTTTTACCCTCAAATTACGGGAGAAGCCGTAATACTTAAAATATCGCCTCTATAACTTGAACCGGAGAGCCGTCGAAATTTTGAACCTATTGATGTTAATTTCACTTTTTACGTATTTGCCATGTCTTTTGAATTTTTAAAGCGAGTTGAAAAATGTTAGAACACAATTATGAATTTCGTTTATCCGATTATGCAAAAAATAATTTTAAAAATTGTTTAATATTTTTCAATAATTTATTTAATGAGAGCTGAAAAACTTTTTAATTGCAAGATATGCAGATTTTTACATCGAAGCATAGTCAAAATGACAAAATACAAAATCGGTAGAATACTTCTTGGCAATTAATTTAATATCTGACTTTAAATATATATTTATGACATTTTTAAAGCCATATTTAAAAGTATATACAGTGAAACCCCGATTTTACGTTTCTCAGGGGACTGGGTAAAAAAAACGTAAAATCCGGGAAAACGTAAAATACGGGAAATACTTAGATAGCAAAAAATCATATAATAATAATGGGAAAATAAAACAAACTAAAGGTAGTAAAGATGACTCTTTCAAAAGGTACTATTAAAATCTATATTTTACGAAAAGAATATTAGTATTTAAAGAAAAAAACATACCAGTTCAAGATCACTTTTACAAGTTTTGTTAAGAATCATGTAATTTAGGTGCAAAATAGTGCGTAATAGTAGATTGTTTTTTAGACATTGAGTTCAAAGTAAATGCCTCATCTTCCAGGACTGAAATCTTTTGCAAATTTTTTTCCTGGTCTTTGTATGATAGAAAATAGTCTTTCACTATTAGCAAACTTCTCAATGCTGTGTTGAAAGAAGGAACGGGCTGTGCTTCTGTTTCTTCTTGTTCATCTTCATCGGCGGATGAAAAGTCCATAACATCGTCCACGGATGGAGCAGTGGTTCTCTCAGCTTCGCATGTTGCTAAGTTTTCTCGGATGTACTCGTCGAAGTCATAGCTAACTGTTTCATTGTCATTCTCCGAGTCTAGTCTATCTAATCCTGCATCTGTTAACGGTTCATTAGAAGCTACGATTCCGCTTTCTTCAAAACAGTGGGAAATGCACTTTTGTGTAACGCTTCTCCAAGCAGCAGAAATAAAATGCATAGCCTCCAGAACACTTAACTTTAGTTTGCAGGCGTCATTTAGGTTTCNTTTGCTTTCCAAGGAAGAAAATAAGTCACTACATCTGATTGGTAACTGGAGTGTCTCTTCTCCTATCTGTCTCATTCCTGCACCAATGAAATGTGTTGTTTCTGTACTTTGTTTCTTCGCCCGCTGCCTTGTCCGAGACAGGCAGCAGGTGTTCAACAAAGGAAGGGGGAGAGAGGACTAAAGTTCTAGAAAACAGTAGTCTGTGGAATGCGTTTCTGCTTTCATAGATTTACTTTCAACAACGTGGATGAGCTTTAAAAAAGCAAACATAGAAAAAATATTGCTTATTAAAACATTTTTTTATTTTTTTTCTTTCTACAAAAAACGTAAAATGCGGGAAATTTCGTGAATTAAAAACTTACAATCCGGGAAAAATTAACATTGGAGGTATACGGAAAGACTGGGTCCTGATGAAAAAAACGTAAAATGCGGGAAAAACGTAAATTCGGGGGACGTAAAATCGAGGTTTCACTGTAGTATGACAATATATATTATGACATATTTAAGGTCCTATTTAGAGATATATATTATAACATATTTAAAGTCATATTTAAAGATATAAATTATGACAATATATAATATGACATAGTTAAAGATGCATATTAAAACATACTTAAAGTCACACTTAAAGATATATATTATGACAATATATGTTATGACATATTTAAAGTCATAATATATATTATGACTTTAAATATGATTTTAAATATATGACTTATTTCAAACTTTGATTTGATTATCAAATAAAATTTGAATATGTACTAGACAATTTTCAAACAAAGGAAGCAAATCTCAAAAAAAAATTTGTAAAAACCATATTATTGTAAGTCTTTAACTTTCAAATTAGCGATGAATTAAGTCATAAAAATAACTTTATGTGTCACAAAATTGTATGTAAACTGAATTTATAGGCAAACCGCTGTAATTTACTTTCAGTTTTGAAATCCAATTAAATTTGCGTGTATACAATCAAGCAACAGAAGTAAAACGCAAAAACTCCCTTAAAACAACTCGATTAAGGCTGATTTCTTTCTTTCTTTTTTTTATTATTAGTGAAGTGGTCTCCTATCCATTGTTTCTTGAGGCTTGTATCGCCAATTGGAAGATGTCCAGAAGACGTCCTGATTGCCGGGGACTGTCCGGACGGTCCACATTACACGCCTCACTGACTGTCCGGAAAAGAATCAATACTGGAAAAGCCGAATGCGATTAATGAATCCTATCCGGTACTAACCACTCTGTTCGGTTGGAGCAGGAAATTGTCCACTTGTGAAAGCGACACAAATTCCTCGTAGAGGCCTCTTTTTTTATGGTCCCGCTTTTACGACCTGCGTTTTAAACGGAGATTAAGATTTCGTGAAATATCGATTTCCTATGGCAGCATCTTCTTTTTTTCCATTGTTGGAACGAGCGAAGGGTTCTGATGCATGCCTGCTACGAAATTGCTTAGTCTTCGAATCAAATTGGAGTGTTCGGTTTAAAGACAAGTAAATTGAGCATTTTTGTTTTTAAAAATGTGTATAATCCAGAGTTTTCCAAAATGTTTCCATAAGGCGTGATGGTTAGGGTATTTTTAACCCTTTGCCCTTCGAGTGTTTTAAAAAACTATTTCATCTAATATAAGCACCGAATCATTTTAAATACATAATTCAGTATTTTTGTATAATTTTAAAAATAATGTGTTGAACAATTATCAAGTTATAAATTTTTTAATTTTAAAAAGCTGACTATTTGATGGCACCTCAGAGGTGACATTAGACTGCAAAGGGTTAAGCAGCAATAATTGTATTTATATTCAATCAATATTTTATATCAATATTATCAATATTATTTCGGTTGTTAATAAAAATTTATTAATTTAAAATGTCGATGAAAAAAAGTAGCGAAATTAAGAACAAAATTTTTTTCAATAGCAATATATATAATAAATTAGGAAAAATAAAATGCATTTTATCAATTAAAATTAGATAATTTTTCGATTAAAAATTAAATAACTAAATTAGAGAATAAAAATTAAAAAAAGATGAAGGGATTATTAATTTATATTATTAATTAATAAGTCCTGAAAATTATAATATTTTTAAACAGTAATGATTATATTTATATCCAATCAATATACCATAATTTATTTAATATTTCTGTTATTTAAAGGAGCTTGTGTATGTAAAATGTCGATGAAACAAAGAAGCAAATTTTAAAAATGTTGTTTCATAACAATATATGTAATAAATTATGAAAATTTGTATGCATTTTTTCGTTTAAAATTAAATATTTTTTAAATTCCTAGTAAATAATTTTAAAATTCAGAATTAAATAACTAAATTCAAGAACAAAAAATTAAGTCTCTCTGATATCTATTCTCGACATTTAGATAGTTCGTTTTTTTAAAACCATAACTCAGCTTATTTTAGACATTTTCATATACATAAAACAAGAGACTAAATTCATAAAATTATATATTTTATTTTTTACATTTACAAAATAATTAGTAATCTTTTCCTTTCTTTTTTTATATCAGTTAATGGACTTATTTTACAATTTCGGGGCGGAGCTTGATCATTTAAAATTCCATAGCCGGACAAAAAGTGGTAGCCAGTAGTTTAATCTATTGCCTCTGAAATGAAATAAGTGTAGCATTTTGCAGAGAATTGAAAATTGCCTTTATGAAAAAAGTGACCTAAGTTAGTAACAAAAAAAGTCAAGTTCTGAATTTGGTTGAACAGCTGCTGTATAACATAAAATATCATCTGCACTTATTAATTAACATATTTGAGGTCACCCCCTCGAGCCGTTATAAATGAGTCCTAGCACGTGAAGATCCGATCATTTGATCAAAAGTTATTCTGGGTGGTCCTTTTTTATTTTTGTGCCCTGTACATACCTACAATTTTAAATCTGAAAAGGCATTGCTGTTTCATTTTAGGTCCAATTATGTGTATATAGTTATACAATATATTACATTAAACAAAACTATCTTTTTTTTTTTACTTAAAGTAAATACTAATAATAAAACATTTACGCAACCACTCTTTATTCATAAATGTTTAAGTGGTTTAATTTTTAGAATATATTTAAGGCTTTTAAATAATATCAATCATCATAATCTTCATGATTATTTTATTTTATATTGTTTATGATTATATTGTCATTTAATTATACTCCATGCCACTCAACATTCCTTGATTGTCACACGAACCCCCTCTCGATTTTTTGGTGGTGAGCACTCCCTCTTCCTCCCATCTCCATTCCTCCTCACTACTCCTCATCATCGATTTAAAACTACAGATGAATCGGTTAATGCCGCTTCGCGGCAGCTCACCGAGATTTATGTGATTTCTACCATTTTACCATTTACGACTTTTAAAGTCTTTTTACTACCACTTTGTAAACTATTTTTCAGCGATCGTGCAAGTTGGCATTTAGGGTTATGATAGACAGTATTTCGGCAATATAAATTCTTAAAGTGATACTCTTATCCTACCACTTTTTTTCTTTTTACAAGAAAAGTACATATTATAACAAGCTGTATGAGGGGTGAAATTCGGTGTCAATTAAAAAGCGAAAAAATAAAGGTTATAATTTTATTTGTTGAAGAATGCATAATTTATAACATCAACTGTGCACAAATATTTCTTCTATACTATTTAAATATTTTGCTTTTAATTCCTTTTCTTCCTTTCTTGTTTTTTTAAATAGTTTTTTGATCTTTTTCTTTTTTTGGACAAATGGGCTAAGAAAATTGCACGTAACTAGTATCAATATGTTTGAATTTTAAACGCGTTACTCGTAGAATGGGTGTGCCAGTGTACTCTATTAATTTAAGTCGTGGACACTTTAATATACTATACCACTATGTCACTCGTATACCACTATTTCACTCGTATGCCACTATTTCACTAATTTTCATCACAAATCACGTGGTCTCATTGTAAGAACATATATTTCAGAATTTGATTTATCTGTTAAGGTCTCTATTACTTGGTGAATATTTTTCTACGGTTTTGCACGGTTTTCTACCGGTTGTTTTTTCTACGATAACCATTAGGATCTTCGGATCCATGCTAGTTCATTTCTCGCTGATAGCTATAATTATTTCATACATGTTTCATATAATAACACGATGATTTACTTAAAAACTTGACAGTTTAAAACGATTATTTTTTAGATTATTTTCTTAACTCATTGCTCATGAGAATGGCTAAATGATTTAAACAAATTTAAAATCGTTAAAAAAATTTACATAAAGATGAAATTTAAACTTGCTTTTTGGCATAAATTACAAAAACAAAGCTTTTATACGTATTGCGACAAAACCTGGTGACAAATACCATTGGTTTTGTGAAGAATTAATTCATTACAACAGTCTTTAATTTTAGATAGTCTGCTGGTGACAGAAAAATCGATAAAAGGAATTGCTGTCTCATTTTATTAGAGTATTGTTGGCAACACCTAGTATATTTCACTTTTTCGGTGGCTGTGGCATTTTGGTTTCGCTTTTAAGTAATTTGAGTTGCTCTCTAAATTAATTCAATTCATAGACGACATAGTTTTACGCTATGCTTTAAAAAACTGTTTTAAAGTCAAACTATAATTAAGAGTCAACTATTCCTAACTATGCCAAAACTGTCCCAACTTTCAACCATTCTAAAACTGTCACGACCATGTTTCCCAGATTGTGCCTTTTTTAAGATTAGGAATTCTAATCTGTCGAAAAAGAGTTTTTTTTTTAAGTACGTTTTTGTGCCTGAATTCGAAATTTAATCTATCGTCTGCACAAACCTCAAAAATATGCTATTTTTACTTAATTTTTATTAATTTATTTTTACCTAGGCAAGATGCGGATTTTCATTTAGCCCTCTTTTTTCTCTAAACTATTAGTTCTATTAAACCTCAGTAATATTTCTAACAGTGTAGTTGAGCCTTTTTCTTTACAATTAAATTTCTGTTTCATTAGAAATAATAGAAATAATCCTAATAACTGCATTTATATCAGTTTAAGGATGAATATGTTTAGTGACAAGAAAACTGACGTGATCGGCGTAGCCAAGTATTTAGAATCGTCGCCCGAGCTAGAATCTGACATAGGTACCGAGTTCGATCCTTACAGCTCGATGAAAATGTATAAATGTAATTTAATCGTTTGTTTATTATTTCTGCACCTTCTAGAGATTTCTAGAATGTTCCAATTCGCCATTTCCCTTTCCGTTTTTTTAACTCTATCAAAATCTCAGGTGTTTCAAGTTCGAATCGCTATACGTTTGAAGGTACTGAATAAATATTTTTTAACTTTCTGGGCAGCTTTAGATTTATTCTACGTGACAATATATTTCTTTAGAAATAATTTATACTTTTAACTGAATTTTTCCAGGTGGATTCAGTTTTAAATTTTTTTTAAAAATAGCCTACGTTATCATAAAAAAAATATTTAGGGACCGAAAAGGTTACTAGAATTATACTGCTTCGTCGTAAATAGTGAAAGTTTACTCATTAATATCACCATATGGGTATGCGGATGAATTAAAAGTACCATATCAGCACATCTAAACAGACAGTATCAATTTTATACCCAGTAATCCTTTTTTTTAATATGAAGCGGAAGACGTTCTTAAACCTTTGAATATTTTGAGCAAAAAAAGCCAGTAAAAGAGTTCCTGTTTTTTTCCTTTCAAAACGAAAGTAGTTTTCTCGAAATTTCAGGCAAAGTTTGAATGGTTATATTATACAAGGCACTACAAAAGATAATAAAATTATAAATGCTCATCTAAAAGTTAATGAGTTTTTGTAATGGGTACATTTAGGCATACAAATTGACAAAGCTGCAAGAAACAACATCACAATACTATTTAAAAACTGAATACTGCTGCGAGTATAGACGCTAACGTATGATATTTGTACGCATAAATCCTAATCGACAGGTTAAAATCTCAGCGTGAAAGTTTAATAATTAGTACAAAAAATAACAAAATATGTAAGTTTATAATGGGAGATTCGTACCGTAAAGAATTTATATCTTTATTAATTAACCCCTTGGGGACGGATGATTCATAAAAGCATTCGTGCAAAATCAGAATCAAGTTGTAATGAAATAAAAAACGGTAACTTAAATGTAGTCGTTGCTGATTTGACAGACTTACTTTGTTTTTACTTTAATTATTGTTAGTTTAATCATATATATAATCAATGTTAATTCAAAGTATAACTAAATAGTTTTATTTTGAACAAAGTAATGGTGAATTAAATAAATCAAACAATTATAACTCCACCCACAAATAAACTGCTAAAGAAATACTTTGATTACCAGTTTTATATTTTTACCCTGATTGATACGGTTTTACGCTGTCACGTATTTGTGACAGTCGGCGCGAAAGGGTTAAACATTATAACAGCGTAATGCAAATAGTATTTAGAAATAAAAGTTGATACGATATAATTTAGATGTTTTAATTACATATAAACAAATGCGAATTTTATGAAATTAAAATAATTTTGGTAAATTTTTAAGGAAAGAGTGCTTTAGAGAAAAAAATGTAGCATTTATAATAATTGATAGATAATTTTTTGCGAAAAATTACACTTTTTTTTTTTTTTTTTTAAATGACCGCTATGAAGTGATTATTTGATCCTTCGGTCAATCTTTGGAGCAGTTAAGGAAAATAATGTTTGGAGAAGTTTATATAATCATGAGATATACAATAAGTATAGATTGTCTAATATTTTGAGGGTTATTAAGGCCTACAGGATCAGATGGCTGGGGCACGTTTTTCATCGTGAAGAATTGGACCTAGTTAAAAAACTTACTTTTTCGAAAAGTGAAGGAACTAGAGGAAGAGGGAGACCAGCTACAAGATGGTTGGACAGTGTTGAGAAGGACATAAAATTGTTGGGAATAAATAGGTGGAAAAATCTAGCTCAAAGTCTAACTGAGAAGGCAGCTAACTGAGAAAGCCTTGGTCTGCACTAGGCTGTAGTGCTGACGAAGAAGAGAAGATGAAGTAATTGATTTTTGATTTACAGGGCTAAGTTGTGTTATTTATCAACTTTAAGACTGAGACAGAAAATTATCTCAAAAAAATGTTTTCGCACTATACCATTTTTAAATACTGTTTGTGATTAAATTTTATCTATCTTTGATAGATTGTTGATAAAAATTATGTAGAAAATTACTTTCCATTCAAATGGAACCAGAGTAGAGAAGATTGTTGCAACTTAGACAAATTTTGACTTTTTTTTTTCAGAAAAAGAAGTGATTCAAATATAGTTAATTATAATTATCTTGGTTAAAAATGGTTAATTATAATTTTCATGGAAATTCATTAACTTTTTGTTTATTAATATAATTCTTTTTGTGATTGAATTTTATCATGGACATCTGTCATGTCAATAATTTAAGTTAGAAAAATTGGTCGTAGGACAACATATGTTGTACTTTGGATCATTAATTAATACTCTTGGATTAAACTTATAGTGAGATCTTTTTTCTTCTTCAAATTTTTGAAGTAAATTGAAGTTGTTCGTTCATTCAATAAATCTTTCGTCTTGTCAACATAAGCAAAAATATAACATATAATGTTGAAATTGAGAAAGTAAAAAAAACAAACCAAAGTGCTAGTGTAAAACAAAAATTATTTTGCAATCGATTTCTGAGTACAGAGGTATTCGGATAATTAAAGTTTTCTTGTATTCGTAAAACAGAAAATGCATTTGTTTTAATCTAAACAACAATGCAATCAAAGTTCTTTAAAAGTTAAATATAAACATTACGTTTTGGCAACAAGTTTAATTTAAAATTCACTAAGTTACGAAATACAAGTAGAAACATGCTTCTTTTGTTGCTTTAATTAAGGAGAAGTGGATTCCAATTTCTTTCCCATTTTTTACTGATTTAAAAAAAGAGCCCACTCACTTTTACGACTGTTGCCAAACGCCAAATTAGAAATGAAGCACCGAAAATCTTCCTTTTAAAAAAAAAAAAGGAAAGAAACGAAACAACCTAACAATCTTCTTTTGTAAGGTTTCACTGGTTAACGATGAAACCTTTTTAGAAAATTAATGTTCATCTTATTTTAGAGCACCATGAGGTTGTTTACCAGGATGATGGAAGCTCCATAAAATTTTCCCGGACTATATCCGGTTTCCCTGCTATCCGGCATTTTATCTCGAAGACACAATAAATTTCGAGACGAGTAATTGAATTCTGTTATCTCCTTGTAAAACAGACTTTAAGTTAGAGTTTTTGTCGTAAGTTTACAAACGAATTACGACATATTTTATAGTCGTGATAAATTCATGTGTAATGTAGCTTTAAGAACAAGGCTAGGATTGAGAAAGATATGTAAATCTTTTTCAAGTGCAATAAACTTTGAAAATGGATAATTTTTGCTTTTAGAATTGATGTTTCAGCTTTTATTTATTTGGCACAAAATTTCAATAATACAAACTATCATTTCAGCACTTTTGTCTGAATTGCTTTAACTCTTTTACGAGTAATGGGATAAAAACTGTCGATCTTGTTTCATATTAATGTGTACTCTTTAAACTGTAATAGTTTTTACTTTTTTACGCAACATTGTTTTAAGCTAACCACTTTAAATTTTGAAAACTATAAAGATTAAGTTGATCTCTACATTTCCGTACGACAACCACAGTATTTATGACTCTTCCAAATATTGGAGCAGCTTACCTGAAAGTTATCTTACTTTCAAACATTATTGGTAGTGGTTTATTTTTTACGATTTTGATAATCATTGTTGCATTATAATAACCATATTACATCAGAATCATCATGGAATTATAGTGTTAAAAACATTACCCAATCTGATTAACCTTTGCCAATATTTTTAAATTCATTTAATCACTGTCCCGCAGTGGACTGATCGTTAAGACACGGTTCCCAGCAGATCACCAAAGTCAAGCATCACTGGCTGCTGCCAGTGTGCGGGTGGGTGACCACTTGGATCAGTCTGCGTAGGGACCGAGGGTGTGCGGTATTGGTCCGCGTTAAACTGTGCTACCGTAAAGTGCTCGACTTCGCGTGCAGGTCATTGGGCTACCGAAGCGGGTGTGCTATCCCCTCTGCAGAGGATCAAAATTGTGATGGCATGTCTTCGAATCATCCTCAGGGATGTTTCGCAGACCGTCGCCAATAGCCCATTGTGTAGCTCAAGTGCGACGTAAGTGAACTACAACTACAACAATAACAACAATAATTTAATCACTATCCCATAAAAATTTCAAAAGTAGAAAATTTAAAAAATACATTTATTCCACGGACAAAAATAACAGCACATTTACTTTGTATGTACGATGAAATAGATATTACTCGTCATTAGCAATCTTGAAGTTCCATATTACTGTGTTAAACTGTGTATTTCATAACACTCGGACTATAAAAGATAGATGAAAATATAATTAATGCCATGAATGTAAAAATGCAATACGGAGAATGCTGATCAGAAAGCAAAACAGAGACAAAGTTTGCAATGAGTGGGAGTATTCCCTGATTCGGAATTACGAATCTAGCCCCCATAGGCTTCGAAAAAGCTTAATCAGATTTAATCTTAAGAGAAGAGAGGAGAAATTTCATCCTCCTTTTTTTGTTATAAACAAACGATTTCGCGCTGAACAAAATTTGAATTAAAAGCTTGATTTAAATACAAGTGCTGTGTAGATTGAATTTTTTATTTTAAATTTATCCTCAATATAAAACTTCATTTGACATACGCATTTAAAAAGTAAGAATTTGATTGGAGAATTTTAGGCTGAACGGTCAAACCAGATCCAGTAAGAATGGTCCTTAAGTTTCTAAAAATCATGAATTGAATTTCATTATTCTTTGATATTTTTTACTTTTTCTGTAGTTGATTTGTTTTTCTGACATAACAGAATTATTTAAAATATTAATGAATAAGTTATCACTAAATTAAGATTAATGGCGTCACTGGGAAGTTATGTACTGGATGTTCGTATCGTCGACAACTTAACGATTTCTTACATTTTGAAAGTTGAAGACATTTTTAACTCTGTCTAAAATCTTAACCAATGATAACTCTGTTATGGGTTATTTTATTGTGCTCTGTGTGCAATTTTATTGGCACTAAAAATAGAAGATGGTGGAAAAGATCTTTTATTCCCTCCATATTTGTTGACCCACCATCTTTAAAATTTGTAAGGGCAGTAGCAACATTTTATGAACCACGCTACTTATCTTGTAAGAAAATTATCTCGTGACTTATGACTCAGATAAAATTATACTCCAAACAAATAATCTTTATGAAGATCTACTTGAATTTTATCCGAAGACTTTAGTGAAAAAAGCTATTGATTTTAAATTTTTTAATAAATTGCTGAAAACTTCATTTAAATAATTAATAAATTTTAGATTGTAATCCATGAGAAAGCAAAATTTTCTTTAAAACTATTTTTAAATACTAAATAATTTCAAATCACCTCCTGTTTCCGATCTTCTTATGTATTGGAGAACATTTGGAATAATTTTATCTTTTAAAGAAGTACTTTAAGATTTTTTTTCCTGTTTGCATACTCTTTATAAACCGATTTCTTAAGTAAAAATGTCTTTAAAGATCCTGTCACGAAAAGCTAGGGTGCTATAAGAGAGAAAAACAGACAGACAAATAAGCTCTTCCTTTTATTGGCAAATCTTTGGCTGTTTCAGTCTAATTTCTATCTATTCTATTTCTAACAGAGATAAAGTTTCTACTTCAGACAATACTACTAGAATTACCCATGTTCAATATTTTCCTATTTATACAACACACGTCAATTTGACGAATTTTCGATCATTGCTGTTGTTCTAATTTGCGGAATAATTTATGTAAATAAAATACATTCATTTTATAAAACCGTATCCCTTTTAAGACTGAGCTTGCACTATTTTGCGGGTTAGATATTTGTCCAATATGTGTTTGATGGTAATAGGTTCTTTATAACCCAAGTTCAAACCTAGCAAAAAACAATTATTTTAGCTGCCATTTTAATATTGAAATTATTCTATCTTCTTCGCCCCGAACATAAAATAATATTTTAAATTTAATAATATAGGACACGTGGATCACTCGTGGAACATTCTGTTTTGTTTTCTGTTACATGAGATTTTTAAACGGATCGAAAATATTTTCGCGACACGGATTTCAAATCTATAATTGGTTTTTCTCAACAAGCCAGACAATTTCAATAAAATATTTTTATGAAATTAATATTATTTTATTTATTTAAATTTAATATAGATAATATTCCTAACCAGAAACTTTTTTAAGATTCGTTCGAGTGATTACTAAGTGATCTCGCTTCTCAACAACGTAGGGAGTAGTAGGAAGAAGGCAATAATGCGTTTCAGTTTAAGATGCAATACTTAAAGGTTCTATGTTTTTTTTTAAATCTTAAATAAGATTTTTCAAAGTAGTATAAAAGTGCATATGTGTGTATATAAATTTATACGTTCCTTATAAACTTTAATATATTAAGACGAAAAGATAAACACAACTAAAAATATCATTTTGAAAAAATTCTGTAGCTTCCGGACGAAAACTAATTTTGGATTTTAATTCCTTACAACTGGATTAGGTAAGGTCAAGTGCTTGTATAAAGTTCCAAAAAAGTTATTGCCCAGTGATATCTTTAATTTCTCAGATAACAACAAAACTAAATAACTTTCCAAGAACTTTTTACGGTTTGGGCGATTTTTATAAGGAAAAAAAGAATTTTTAAATTACATCAGATCTTAAAAGATTAGAATAATTCAATAATTAATAACAAAATTATATCAAGACAGAAAAAAGCAAAAACTAGCAACAAAAAAATAATTCACTTGTAGCACGTTTTCGATAGGATTAAAATATCAATAATAACATAGATATTTTTTATTAGTTACAAGATCTATACGAGGGTTGCTATTTATATTTCTGGCCTTGGCAACAGTAAGTGTTGCTAGGCGACCGCAGACGATTTTAATCGAAAGTTTGATATTTTTAAACATAAATTCAGCAGACGATTTACCATTATAGCTTCATTTGTGTTGTTGA